CAAGAACAGTTGAACCGTAGGAAATTTAGGATTCACTTTTTTTTTTTTTTGCCTTTTTCTCTCCTCCTGCCTCACTTAATTGGGCTTTTAAGGTTTGCCAACATGCCATTTTTTAATTGTAAAATATTGACACCATTAGGATGGTGTTTAGTTAGTTCATGTATTTTCTTAATACAGATTGAAGGAAGAAAGAAGATGCTGCTGGGGAATACTTTTGCTCCCCCAAGTTAAACTATTTCCATACCACTAAGATGTGAATATTGGATTGATGGTTCTTGAGTTCTTATCTTTTATTTCCAAAATTGTTCCCTTATTTAGAATTAGCAAAAGGAAAGGCAGGATGCTCTCTTTAAAATTACACATATTTAATAAGCATCTGCAATACGTAAGTCACTCAGGATATAAATTCACATTGGAAAACATTCTGAAACATGGTTTCTCTCTCTTGGATCTGTTTTTTTGTGTGTTTTTTTCCTTGGTTGTTGTTGTTGCATTATTTCTTCAAAATAGGTAGGGAATGCCCTCTTAGTGTAAAAGGGTTTCAGAGTTATTGCATGCATAAATTTTTTTTTCTAAATGCTGATGTCAGTTTCATAAGATTCATGTCCATTTAGGGCTAAAAGGTCACAGAAACGTTCCCAGATTTCAGGACCAGATGTGTCTGCATGGTAGATCATGCCGACTCAAACTCATGCTAGCATCTGGTTAAACACATTCCACACCAATCTTAACCATATGTAAATGTAATTGAGAACAATTGAGAAAATAATCTGTCTCCCTCTTTTTGTTCCATTTATAGCACCAACAACTATATTAAAGGTACAAATTTATAACTGGATTGATAAGATTCGCTTTCTATTTCCAGGCAATTACCACATGGTAGAGAAGATAATTCTACATCTAGAATATATTGCAGGCTACATGGGAATGCCAAAGAGGTGTAAGGATTCTAAGAGGGAATGAGCACTTCCAGTTGAAATGATCAAAGAAAACTTCCTGGAAGAGATAGAGTCAGGAGTCTTGAAGAGAAGTATTTCAATGGAGTTAAGTATCAAAGGGTGGAGTTAGTGGGGAGAATTTCTCAGTGGGCTGAAGAGAGTGGGGGAGGGGTAGAAAAGAAAAAGTGTGAACAAAAACAAAGAGATGGAAAAAGGCAGAATTTGAAGGGAATAAGAAATAGATAATAGAGATCATGTGGTAGGATTAATGACGGACACTCTGAAAAACCAGGTTAGGCTAAATTGTAGAAAAACTTGAATCTAAATTTTAGAACTTTGTACTATATGCCATTGAATAAAATACAGTGACACATTCAGAGTAATTTTGACAGAAATAATGCAGGTGATAGTCTGAAGTGAGGTAGAAGAAGTTGTAATAGAGTAGAAGTAAAAGATGGGATATTTTTCCAAAGGACGAACTGATAGGATTGTGGAAGTGTGAGTAACAGAGGAAGAAGTTAAAGAAGACAGAAGTTTTGAATTTGGATGGTGGAAGAATGGCAGGATACTGAAATAAATTCAGGAAAACAAGTCTTACAGACAAAGGATGAATACAATTTTGGGTATATTGCACTCTGAAGTGACAACTTCCACTCCAAGTGGAATTATCTGATAAACTTTTGGATATGTGAAGGTGGTGATTGGAAACTCTTGGAGTAGATGAGATTCCCAAAGGTTGAAATATGAAGAAAGGAGATAATGTCAAGGACAGAATTTCACGTTTATGGTTAGAGAATGGGAATAAGAGAGAGAAACTGTCAGAAGTAGACAGTCAACAGTGGAGCTGTCCAGAAGTGGGGAGTGTGGACATCCTTGCCTTATTCCCAAGACTTACTTGTTTCCAAACTTAGGGGAAGAATTTAGTTTTTCATTAACTGTGATGTTTGCTGGAGGATTTTTTGTAGATTCTTTTTATAAGGTTAAGAACATACCCTTCTGCGGCTAGTTTACTGAGAGATTTTACCATGAATGAATGTTTCAAAATGGTTTTTCTGCATTTATTAAGATGATTGCATGGTTTTTTAGAGTTCAATATGATGAATTGCATTGATTGCTTTTGTAATGTTGAACCAACTCTGCATGATAATGATGTATTATCCTTTTTTAAAAATCACTAAATTCTATTTGCTAATACATATTTTTGTAATGTCTTTGATTTTGGTATCAGGGTAATGCTGGCATCCAACAATGAGTTAGGCAGTGCTCCCTGTTCTTTATCTTCTGGAAGAATTTGTGAAGGATTGATATTACCTCTTCCTTAAATAGTTGGTAAAATTCCAAGTGAAAGCAACCTGGCTTAGAATTTTCTTTGTAGGAAGGTTTTTACCCATGAGTAGACTATAGGGCTATTCAGAGTATCTGTTTTCATTAATAAATTTTGCTGGTTTGTGTCTTTCAAACTTTGCCTGTTTCTCATCTAAATTATCCAAGTTTCTTATGTCTAGGTGTGCATAATATTATTAACCTTTTCATGTCTGTAGGGTCTAATGTAATATTTCCCTTTTATTTCATTTACATCTATTTGGTTTCTACTTGTCCCATCTGCTCTTTTCAACATCTACGTGTTGAAAATCTGTGTGATCAAAAGTGGGAAAATCACAATATGACAGGAATATTTCATTTGAATTATTTTCACTGTTACAACCAGTTCTCAGAATAAATTTTTTGACAGCCCCCAACTTTAGTGGTAGAAAATGTAATGTTTTATGTAAAAAACAAACCAAACAAACAAATAAACAAACAAAACAAAACAACAAACCTTAATGTAGATATTTTCAGTAGACAGAAAAATATAAACTAACTCATACTTTTCCTGCAGTAGCCACTATGGTGTATAACAGTGGAGAAGGATACAGACTTGAGTCAGACTGTCTGGTTTTAAACACTGGCTTTTCTGCTTACCAGCTGTGTGATCCTAGACAAGATGCTTAACCTTGTTTTTTAAAAGATTTTTAATAAATTAATTTATTTTTGAGAGAGAGAGAAAGAGAGAGCATAAGCGGGAAAAGAAGCAGAGGTAGAAGCAGAGTCCCTGCTGAGCAGGGATCCTGATTCAGGACTCGATCCTAGAACCATATGGGACTAGATCCTAGGACCCCAGGATCATGACCTGAGCATTCGGCAGACGCTTAACCAACTGAGCCACCCAGACATCCAAGATGCTTAACCTTCTTATGCTTTAGTGTCTTTGTCTGTGAAATAGGAAAACAGTTTTGTCTCATAGACCTGATGTGAAGGTGGAAATGAGTTAATGCATATATTAATACATGCTTGAACTGGGCCTGGGGCATGGGATGTACTCAGTGAGTTGTAGTTGTCACCAGGGTGAAAAAAGATTAGTTAGACTCTGTGCATCACCAATAACGGGTCTGAGCAAATATCTGAATGTCAAATTTACACATACTTGATAGCTACCTTAAAAAGATACTAGGCATAAAAATGCCAAATGCCGTCCATTTGAGTGTGACATTTACAATTTAAGTTTTTTCCTGGTATACTTTATGTATGTATGTATGTATGTATTTTGCCAAGCATGGCAATCATTTCCTCACCAAGCATGGCAATCACTTCCTCAAATGTAATTTTAGGGAAAAATAATAAACAGAATGAAAATTATGTAATATTATGTAATTTTGATGTTAGTAAAAATAATTGTAATTATATTTCAGCATGCATTTTCTAAATCAGCCATTTGTGGCTTTTTAAAAATAAAATATCATCATGTACAGAAAGGCCAGTACAATTAAGGCAAATTTTGTGTCTTCTATAAGTGATGAAAATTAGCACCATGAGTTTTATAATATAGTAATATATTAGTAAGGGCCAAGTGGTAGTATAGTAGGCAAATGGTAAAATATAGCAAGTAAATGGCATGTGGTCTAGGGAAATATTTTGGATAAAAACTAAACTACATTCTAAAAGGGGAAAGGAAATTAGCATTAAATTGGCAATAACCATTATAGGCAATTTCTCCCCATATACTGTTTCATTTCTTTATCTTTCAAAATCCATAAAATAGGTATGTATTAACCCCATTTTACTAATGTTAGAACAAAAGCTCACAGAGTCTGACTTCAACAATTCTCCAAGGCTATTTAGGGGTAGAGCTAGGGGTCAGGTCCTCGCCATTTTGATTTCAAAGCCCATGACCTCTCCATTACGTTTGTCTGCCTCCCAGAAGTGATCTGTATACCACTGATCAAGTTTAGCACAAAAATCATATCTGATCCATAAAACAAAATTTCCCCTGTTTTTCAGTATCTTGTAATTCGAGTTTCATTTATTTCCATACTTTTCCATTGCATTTCATTTTAATAAGCATTTGCTACTAAAACACATACTGAAATGACCCATAACTTCGGGGTTAACAGTGGAAAAAGTGCTTACCTTGGGTTGGTTCTATCTGTCATGAACTAGTCAATTCACTTTGGAGCCAGCCATTTCACAGTGTGGAAGTTCCTCTTTTCATTTGTATAATGGAGGAAAAGTACTAGGTGATCTTGAATGTCTGTTTATTCCATCTCTTTCAATGCTCTATGATATTGAGAAATCCTCTCTACTATCTCCACCCTTTGATACTTAACTCCACTGAAATACTGATTCTCTTCAAGACTCCTGACTCTATCTCCTCCAGGAAGTTTTCTTTGATCATTTCAACTGGAAGTGCTCATTCCCTCTTAGAATCCTTACTCCTCTTTGGCATTCCCATGTAGCCTGCAATATATTCTAGATGTAGAATTATCTTCTCTACCATGTGGTAATTGTAAATCCATATCACATTTTCCCGAATGGCCAGAAGTTCAAATACGGACCACTTTCATAGAGAACTGATTTCCTAGTTGGGATACTCCAACTTCGTGAAAATTCCCAGGACTTTAAAAATGATTATAGATGCAGAATTTTGTAAAAAGCAAACCCAGAATCAGTTTTTTAAGGTCCTATAAATATTCCTAATCTCTGAATCTGGGATGTCCTAATTTTTCTTTTCCATATTTTCCACAGGATTATTTTACAAATGCAAATAGAGAGTTGAAAAAAGATGCTCAGCAAGACTACCACCTGGAATATGCCATGGAAAATAGTACCCACACAGTAGTTGAATTTACCAGAGAACTGCATACATGTGACATAAATGACAAGAGTATAACGGTAAGGAGCCGATGAAAGAATACATGCACGAATATATTGTACATTTACGGTTGTGAAACACTTTGTAGAATTAAAGGAACAAATATTTACCTTTGAAAACAAAGTCACACAGTCTGTTTTAGGATAGCTTTGGAATCTTTTTAGAAGCCACAAAAATCTAAGACTATATATTTCAAGAAAGGCAATTTTTGTGTGACTCTCACGTTTTCAAGGGCCATTTAAAATGAGTATGATTTTATCTGTAAGATTTCTAGCTTTTTCTGTATAAAGTTTGAGAATACACAGTACATAAAGGTTGGAAAAAATGTATTACACAAGAAGGAATGATGATACTGAATATCAGGGTATAATTCATCTGATTTGTGACTGGTTCATTTTTGTAAATTTCTAAAATTGAGATGAATAGTAGATTGATTAAAATTGCCTACTGACATGTTATACAAGATTTCTTATTGTCAGACTTCACGCAAACATTAATATCTTTATGCATATGCAAATTAAATATTTAGACAGTATATAATTCATGTGGTACTTGGGAAGTTTCCATGAATTTCTTGGATTGATTTTATTTTGTATAGATCAATCAAATTATCTTTTTTATTTGATAAATCAAAGCTTTAAAAATGGGAATGTAAAAATCTGAAACACTTTTGATTAACATTCAGCATAAAGAGTAGAAGAAGAAAAAAACACATGCAAAGACATGGATCACTTTTTATGTAATATACAGTGCAATTATACTTTAAGTGGAAAAATAATTATAGTCATTTGACTTATTAAGAAAGAATATAGCTTTTAAAATAAATAGCTTGTGCTTTATTATTTATTTTCAAAGTTCTTATTACAAAGATCTGGCAGACACCTGGATCTGTGGGAGGACTGAACAACTTCTTTATAACTCAGCAAGCCCTCCCCCTGCCCTAGCGTCCCTTGGGCAATCTCTCTTGCTTGCTAAATGGAAACCAATTTCACCTGACAGTACTTTCCCTCATTGGGATACCCTAGTCCCTTGGAAATTCCCAGGATTCATAAATGACTGAAGCTAGATTCTAGGATAATAAACCCCAAATCAGAAATTCCTCCTGTGTTTGCACTTTCTGTCAATTCATACACGTCACCGGGCTAATGCCTGGGAAAAATCTGTTATGAACGAAAAGGTGCCGACCCGGAAAGTCATCTTAATTTTCATTCTGTTTATTTTTTTTTCCCTAAAATGTTGCATGGCATTAAAACAGGTTTTAATTTTCTAGAATCCTTGCATCTTAACAAGAATATTTCCTTGGTAACTATGAGTTGCTAGTTTGCAGACCTAGCACAACGATGATTTACTGCTGCCATGTGCATGAAAGCATAACCACCGAGTCCGTTGCTCTTTGCTCTCTCTTGGAAGACATAATCTTGCATGCTGAGAGAGAGCGTCTCTTCCAAAAAGAAACTCATCTATTTGGATACTTAATGATGTAATCAAATTGACGCAATTAATGCTAGAGACCATACTGAGGGCTCCAAATGTCATTATTCTCTTTTCTTCACGTCTCTATCTGGCTTTCAGTAGAGTTCTTTAAACTCAGCTCAGTGGTAAGGACGGTGCTCTCATGAGACATAATAATGCCCCTGTCTGATCACCAGGAGAGCACTGTGAGAGTGATCTGGGCTTACCATCATGAAGATGTGGGCGAAGCTGGCCCCAAGTACCATGACTCCAATCGTGGCACTAAAAGTCTACGGCTTTTGAATCCTGAGAAAACCAACGTGTTGTCTACAGCCATACCATACTTTGACCTGGTGAATCAGGACGTAAGTTTTTTCAGGTTTTTATGATTGGAAGGGTGGGTTTCTTGAATTCATGTGAGAGTTTTTACTTACATGCTGTTTAACAGTGTGACTTTGTGTCCCCCTCCCCTTTTTATTAAGACAGGTCCCCATCCCAAACAAAGGTACGACCTATTGGTGCCAAATGTTTAAGATCCCTGTGTTCCAAGATAAACATCATGTAATAAAGGTATGTGACTCACTCACAGGCTAAATTTAATGTGTATGAATGGAGGAAAAATTGTTATTAAAATGAAAATGACTAAAAGAATAGAAATGATTTTCAAGTATGTGAAAGTTATTTCAAGAACAAAGAACTGGCTTATCTGACTCACACCCTATCTTAGGAGTCACTGAATTTAGAGAGAAATCTTGGATTATAGCTAGGATTTTTGGGTTTTGTCTCCTAATTTTACTTTTTAAGGTAAAAGTTTTGGGATGCATTTGAACACTGCTAGTTATTTCTTTTTTCTTTTTAAAAAAAGATTTTATTTATTTTAGAGAGAGAAAGAGAGTACACAATGCGTGCATGTGCACACAGTGTGGGGCAGGGAGGAGCAGAAGGGGAGGGAAAGGGAGGGGAAAGAATCTCAAGCCGACTCCATGCTCAATGGGGAGCCTGAGGGGGGGCTCAGTCTCTTGACCCTGAGATCATGACCTGAGTGAAAATCAAGAGTCAGGCTCTTAACCAAGTGAGCCACCCAGGCGCCCCAACACTAGTTATTTCTTAGGCAACACTGTACAGTTGGAATTGCTGGAGTTGACATTTAAATAATATATTTGCATATCAATAAATTATATACAGGAAGATTACATTCCCCACCACCTATTGTTTGAAAATGTCTGCTGCATTGTAAATATTGGATGTTGTGAAAAAAAAATTTTTATAGTGATTTTTTGAAAATAGGAAAACAGGAAAATTAGTGGATTCCCACAGAATTAAAAAATTCAGAATTGGGTAAGAAAGAAGCCCTGTTTGCCTGTGGCCTATAATTCCCTCCCACCTCTACCAGGAATAGTGTCCCAAAACTTTTGCATCTAGTTAGTGAATGAACAAGTATTTTTAAGGAATTACGTGTCCTTGGTTCTGTGCTAGAAACTGTTTGGTAGTTCCAGAGGCTGAATATATAATCCATGCGCTCAAAGAACCTATAGTAAGAATGTAGGAAAAGTATCCTAGACACAGGAAAGAATAAGATAGAATTCAATCATGCATACAAATACTCTAAACATTCAGAAGACCGACGTCATCAGCGTTTTGTCAGCCCCCAGACTGTTTAACAAAGCAGTGTGGATGTGAGAAAGGAGCAAACTTGTAGATACTGGAATCCAGAAGGAAGTACATAGATCGACTCACAGGTTGTCTCTTGAACTAACTACGTGCTCTCAGGTGAGTAGCTCTGGGGTAATGCCCTGGCTTCTTTGTCTGTAAAAGGTGGTCCATCATAACGCTGTCCCTACTAACCTCAAAACATTTTGGCAGAGATGGAAACACTGAGTACATTCTATAAAGTGACTTAAATTTGTTAATCTCTAATATATTTGTCCAGAGGCACAGAGCTGCCTTTTATTTACACACATGATTCATAACTACTTACACAGACAAGAGGAACAGTTTGAGGGAATGTTTATTGAATTATTAAGTAGTCCTAAATATTTGTAGAGTATTTCTGTAATCAGAAGACTTACCAACAATGAGACTTCGAATGAGCCACTAATCTCTGTGCAATGTTATTTTCTGTTTCTTGCATGTGCCTTAATACCATGCCTAAGGCCTTCCCTTGTGCCAGTGAAAAGCCTTTCTCAGGAAAGAGAATGGTGTATTTATATATACTATGTGTCATATAGTACTGTGTGTCATTTATAGTAAATTTAATGGGAACTCAGCTTAAGGGACAAATGTAAAAAACTACAGGGTCAGAAATGAAAGCAAATGTTTCACAAAATAGGTCCCTGGTTCCTTTTTCAGCAAATGTTAATTGATAGGATATGATGTCCTTAACCACTTACATCAATGCATTTTTATTCTTCATTGTAATTAATGCTAATAATTAAGTTGAATGAAAAAAATATTTGCTCTTAAGGGGAGTCAGTATATGTTCTAACTCTCTATGTAGGACATTTACTTGGTATCCCATCTAAGAATTTTCCATTGCATGCTTATCATAGTAGTAGTCAGATATGTGGGCATGTATTAAGTATTTGGAGTTCTATTAAACGATGAAAGTTCTTTACTCCTAGCAAGAGGGGATTTGAGGGAGAGAGGTGTGGTTATACAAAATTTGGGTGCTGCAAGGGAGAGGGTTGGTGGCCGGAATTTAAAATTCTATTATTACTTAAGAATACCACTTATAGAATAGATTCCTGAGCTTGTTGTTAAACCCTAAAATGTTTTAAAAGACGTTAAGTATTATGAAACATGTTACTCAGAAATGAACCTAAGGATAATATACAAAAAGAGAAGGGGTACCTGGCTGGCTGAGTCGGTAGAGCATATGACTCTTGATCTCTGGGTTGTGAGTTCAAGCCCCACGTTGGGTGTAGAGATTACTTAAAATTAAAATGTTAAAAAGGAAAAAAACCAGAGAAGAGAAAGCTTTACGTAGAAAATAAATTCAAAATATTTAGGTTGTAAAAATGGGGGCACCTGGATGGCTCAGTCGGTTAAGCGACTGATTTCGGCTCAGGTCATGATCTCAGGTTCCTGGGATCAAGCCCGGCCTCAGGTTCCCTGCTCAGCAGAGAGTCAACTTGAGGATTCTTTCTCTCCCTCTGCCCCTCCCCCAACTTGCTCGCTCGCGCTCTCTCTCTCTCTCTCTCTCTCTCAAATAAATAAATAAAACTTTTAAAAATAAAGATTGTAAAAATAATTCAGGTTGTATATGTTTTGAGACAGTCTTTAAAAAGTTTTAATTTGTGGCTTATGCCAGTTTACAATAAAAATTTAATACGTTTCTACCGTAGAATTCATAAATCTAAAACTTACCTTAAGAAATTACCTAATTTCCATCCTCTTTTCCTTAGCAGAGATGATTTCTAGTAATTTAAGAAAAATATATCTTCTTTTCATAGAATCAAAGACAAAGACTCCTGTGTTTTGGCTATTGTAGACATGCTGCTATAAACATTGGGGTGCAGGTGCCCCTTCGGATCGCCACATTTGTATCTTTGGGGTAAATCCCCAGTAGTGCAATTGCTGGGTCATAGGGTAGCTCTATTTTCAAAAAAAAAAATAAAAAAACAACAAAAAAACCCCCACAAAGACTCCTGTGTTTTGAAAAGCCATGAGCTAGGTACTTGTCCTTATTCCTTATTTTGTGTCCTACAAATCACTGGATCAAAAAGCCTCAGTTCTTCTCTGATACAAAAAACAAAAAGTACTTTCTCAGAAAAAAGAACATTGCTCTTATATTGTATTATATTATGTGTCATTTGCAGCTAGTTTTAAGAACATATTGATAACAGTAATATTGTGAGAAATCAATTTTGTTGTCTGGACTCTTATTTCAAACAAAGAAAAGTGTGTACTTGTACTTTAAATGTTAATAGTACTGCCCAATATACATTTCGTAGTTGTAATAACTATAAAACTAAGCAGATAAATAAAATATATCAGTGGCTGTTTATGAATATATTTAATGTAAATGACTAAAATTAAAAAAGTTAATTACATTTTAATTTAAATTTTAATCATGTAATGATAAAAATAATTTACTACCGAAAATATCAAATAAAGTAAATATTTTGTAAAATTATAAACTAACAAAGGTAAGTAATTTCTAAAAGTATAAATGAACAAGGGTCAGTAATTTCATCTGCAGGAGTAATGGGATTGTGATAAAAATTATTGGTGGTTTCAATTCACTTGTGATTCCAACTTAGTGATTTGTGTTTTGATTTTTGTGAAAAATGTTTAAAATTGTGATTTGAAAATATTTGTATTGTCAGATGACAGCATATCACACTAGAAGACAGATATGGAGATTATACAAAGAAAACTCTTAGTAATTTATATTAAAACCACTGTTCTCATGTGAGACCACCTCTGTGACTCTCGAGACCCACTGTCCAGCCCATAGCGCCCTATTTGAATATGACCCTATTTAAGCTTTGCAAAATAAGTAACTTTATCTTAAATTTAAATTTTCAGGAGGAAGTGATTCTTTCTACTCTCTTTAGTCAATAGTGATATCATAATCACCTGATAGTAACAGCTGGATATGCTCTGCTAGAAGCTGGGTTTATCAGCTGGTTTAACACACTGGTTTTGGGGTCTTTTTTGTTTTTTGCTTTTTGGGAGTTTTTTTGGAGCTTTTATTGCCAGAGAATTCTCTCATTGATAAACGGAACTCCTAACTCCTCCATTTAAACATGATCTGTCTTATTTGATTTAATAAATAATTGTTGGTGGCCTATCATGTTAAAGAGGAGAAAAAAGAAAAACAGTCAGGCTGACTCATCATCCTGTAGCCATCTGGCCTTAAAGGCCCACCTTTTTAATAGGGTGGCAGTAAGCTTCGTGGTCTCGTAGGTGGGTTCTGTGCTATGATGGGCAAGATCTGGACGCTTTCATTCCATTATTAGTCATTTATCCATGGGAAGGTTATTTGTCACCAACAGCTCCATTTTATCATTTAAATTCTAATGGTACCTTCCTTATGGGATTATTTGGACTGAAAGTTATGTAGCAGTTAAAAAATTTTTTATTACCACTTAGCACAGTATCTGACACATGGAAAACTCTTAACAAACCCAATTATTATCAGGCCTTTTTTTTTTTTCCATGTTGCTGTCTGAATGACTTTTCACTGAAAACTGCTGTTTAGTGAGGAGACCCAGAAAAGGAAAGAGCGTCATGCTAAAAGGTTGACCATTGCTGAGTGTTAAGAGAGGATTACCTTTATTTCTTGTGTGACCTCTGGCAAATTATTTACTTCCTTGTGCCTCACTTTTCTCATCTGGAAAATGGGCATAATAGTTCTCACCTAATAGGTGAGTGAATTAAAGGAATTTAACATACGTATTTAGAACAATGCCTGGCACATAGTGTTTGTTAAATAAGTAACTAAATAAAATTATGTAGATCACTAGCAATACACAATTGCTAATCTGTCAATCATCTTGTTTGGTTTCTGGGTTGCTGAGGGATCCCGAACCAGTCAACCCTTTCTAAACAGTCAGAATTCCAAA